AACCACAGCTGCAGGCAGAGCTTGGCCCTGGGGAGCCTCCCCCCCCCCGCATAGACTGAGCGGGCAAAGCCGTTCCTGTGAGCCCCTCCCCCCTGCCCACCTCCGAGAAAGGATACACCAGGTACATGCAGGCAGTCATGGCTCTCTGGCGGATGGCCGTCCGGAGGGCGTCGGGGGGCTCAGCCTTGATGAACTCCTGCGGAGGAGGAGGAGGAGGAGGGGGGAGCCTGTGGGGAGGCCCCCCCTGCCTTGGGCCCAGAGCTTGGCATCCCAGCAATGCCAGGGAGGGGGGAGGGGCTGCTGCGGGAGCCTCACCAGCATCTGGGCGACCACCTCGGCCTTGCGGGAGAAGACGAAGTCCCCCGACTGGGCGCTGTGGCAGACGGCCTGGCTGATCAGGCAGATGCTGCGGATGAGGCAGAGCTTCAGGGTGGCATCCTGAGGACGGAGGAGGAGGAGGAGGAGGAGGAGCCTTGAGGGGCCGGAAGAGGCACCAAGCAGGGGACTCGCCCCCCCCCCCCCCCCCCCCCCATGCGCCAACACCGAAGTCGGCTGGGGGTCCCGCTGGCCCTTCTTCTTCACCTGGGCCGGGACTCGAACCCACGTCTGTCACTCAAGCAGCAACACAGGAAGAGGCCCCCCAAAGAGGGAGAACCCCAAAAGCGGCTCTCCCAGGAGGCGGCCCCGTCCACAGAGATCCCTGGGGCCCTGAAGCCCGGGGGGGGCAAAGAGCCCCTCCCCACAGAGTTAGTGCAGACACGGGGAGGAAGGTGTTAGTAAGAACGGAGCCCCCGCCTGAGAAACGCTCCTGGTGGGCAGCCCTCCAGCTGCCCTCCAGCTCTCGGGGGGGGGGGGGGGGGAAGCGCCCGGCAAGAAGGAACTGCCCCCCCCCCCCCGGCACTGTCAGGCCAGGGAAGCTGCCGGAGCCCCAGAGGAGCCCCAGAGGAGCCCAGAGGGGGTGGACTGGAAGACCTCCACGGTCCCTTCCAACTCTCCTGCTCCAGCCTTCTGCCAGCAGAAGAGCCCTTGCCAAGCGGAGGGACCCCCCCCCCCTTCCTTCTCAGGCAGAGCAGGGCTCTCCTGGCGCTCCCTTGGGGTTCCAAGCGTAGCCCCCCCTCCCCTGGCAGGGGGTGCCCCCTTTTGGCCTCAAGCCCCGCCTCCACTCTGCCTGGGGGGGCGTTTACCCTCCGCAGGGAGGCAGCCCCGAGGCCTGGCTGGCTGGTGCCGCCTGACCCCCCCCCCGGCTCAGAGGGCTCTGCTGGGAGGGGGGCCTCGGGGCAACCTTCCCCCCCCCC